TGTCCAATACATGACTTGATTTTAGGGTCATACGATCGAATGTCAGGGTCACAATGACATTAAAACTGAAAATTGTGCTTTCTGGAGCATAACACAAGTTTTATTTTGCTTGCAGTGTTCAAACGTCATAGGATGATTGCCTATGTTGAATAAAAGATCCATATCTGTATTTGGGTCATAAGGTCAAAGGTCAATATCATATGACCTTAATATTGTTAACAGTTTTACAACTGTCAAACTTCATAGGATGATCACTTATATTGAGTACATTAATTATATGGCCTTTATCTTTCCGTCTATCCGTCGTAGCATTTTTACTTACAAGATACCAACTTGATGCTTTGGAAACAGCAACTGTATATTTGAAGGTTCTTCAGCTATAAAGGAGGGAGATATTACTTTATTTAATTCCCATGTATTACAAATGCTTCATCCTTTCTTAAAAAAAAACACTTTCGGGCATATAATGCTCCGCCTAGCGGTGCTCATGTTATATCGTGTAATGCACAGTTCGAGGAGTTTCTCTTACATAAAACATGTCCTATTACAGCATGACAATGGGTAGTTTTATCTGTCGAGATTCATGCACTTCATGCACAAATTGAAAAGTGCTTGCCTCCTGGTAACACTTTGACAACCATGCTTTATCATCACCTTTCGTTTTAATGTCGAGGATTATTTAAAAATAACCATCGGTTAATGCGTTTAGTTTTTATTTGTTTTGGTCGTCAGACCAAACAAATAATGGTAGCGAAATTTCAGACTCTAATGCTGTTAATTGCAAATGCCGAAAGTAGTCCGCTTTTTGAAGCGGTTACTTCCCTTTATATGTAACACTAAGGGCGAAAAATTCAGCGGAGATCACTGCGTAAATATGGTCACATGCGTAAATATGGTCACATGACAGGCGCATTAATTTTCAAGCAAAATAATTCCCGAATGGTCGAAGATTTCTAATATTGATTTATTCTTTATAGATATACATGCTTATAGTAAGCGCCATGATTATTTACACAAGTGTTAACAACAGTTAGCGTCGTTACAAACCCTAATTTAGAATAAAATGGTTTTCTTCAGGCCGTTATCAATTCACCGTGGCCGAGGGGTTTGCGCGCTCGCTTAGGAAGCGAGGTCTGGAGTTCAAATCCCAGTTGAGGCAACTCTTTTTTTTTCTTCAAATTGTTTAAGTCAAATAAACATTGGATTAAATATCAGTGTTGCAATTAGTCTTATAGCCAATCTACAACAATTAAAACGCTGGAAAGCATTGGTGGCACTATACAAAAACAAATTGTTTTATAATCTCACAACCTTCACCTTTCTGACATTCTGAGACCCTAACAAATTCAGCGCCTTCTGTGCTTTGATTAATACATGTTGGAATAATATATTTAAATAATAATAATGCTGTCAGACTTATGATTCTAGAACGAATAGATAACTGTCTTATATTTTGTTCAATTTTGGATATTCAAACATTGAATTCTTGTTAATTACTTCAACTGTCAGAACAATATTAATAAAAGATAACGACACAATCGTTTTAAACAGAAAAACCGTGTACCGGAAAGCGTTTGTAGGCCTACCCGAAATAATTTTTTAACCCCTTTTACATGAAATTTTTTCTTTAAAGAAATAATCATTTTCATTTTTTTGGGTTTTTAGTTAAAAACTGACATTTAATTTGATTTTTTTGGAAAAGAAGCTCACGCTCTTCTGCAGGATTAAATGTTCTTTTCAATAATTAATTTATTAAAATTTGTTAACTTTAACTTTACCTGTTGAGAGATAAAAGGTGTCCCCTTTGTCATAGATAATGAGATAGAATACCGCAACAGGTTACTTACAACTTTGATCAATAAAAGAAGATCCTAACTATCAATGAAAAAAATGGGAATGATATTTCTATATTAAAGGCTTATAGCAACGACAAATTATAGTCAAAGTAAACATATATATTAAATTTACAGGAACAGCTTGGCTTTATGACTTATCAACTCGGGAGAGAAATAACAATAATGATATTCATACACCATGATATTCATATTCATACATTTTTAACTCAAAGGTATACGGTGATTGAATGAACAAAGGTAGGAAGCAGCTATATATTAAACTTTATTTCAAAATTTTCATCGTTTAATATTTCATTTATAAAGGACCAATATCTTTGTACATCTGAACATTTTCAGAATCCCATAGTGTCATCATTGTTTAAATTTTAGTTTACTCTCTATGAAATAAATACTTGACTTATTAAAAAGCACAATGATTTTGAAGACGGAAATTATTTTTACTGAAATTTAATCATCTACGACGTTTTAATTTTTTTTTGTTTAAGCTGAAATTTGTTTCAAACTTGCTCTAACAGAATTATGAGAATAATTAAGACTGAATTTCAAAAGAGTTTTCTATCTTTCCCAGAGGTCCAATGTTAAGTCCGAGATTTCTCATAACTAAACAATCAAACTATGCTTTATTTAGTGTAACATATAAAGCTATTTATATTTGCGAAATAAATCATCTTGTCTTAGTTTTAGATTTTTACATACTTTTTCTGGAGGCTTAGGTTGTTCTCTCACTTGCTGCTATTTACTTCTTTGTGGTTATTTTATTTACTTTGGTGTATTTAACTCACCCTCGTTTTGGATCCAAAAAAATCCTTTGCTGTTTACAGAGAAGTTTCTATTTTTGCTTTTTAATTATCATTTGATATAATTTCGAATATATATTTTGTTTATATGATAGATTTTATCTATTTGTAGATATTTATCGATTAAATATTGCTTACCGAATTGCTTTTCGTTAGTTTTACCTGATATTGATTCTGGGCTATTTGACCTAATTTTGCGGCGTGGTGTAAACAAAGGATTTGTTCACATTTTCATCCAAGTTTAAACAGGATTGATATATTCAGCATCATATTGATGGTAATATACTCAACACCCTAATAGTGCTGTGTAAGTTACATAAGCAGTTTATCTGACATTGTTGCTTACGACTTCACAATGCTCCATAATAACTTACTTCTAGGGCATTCATTTACAAAGAGGCTACAATTTTGGTATTTTCAAAATGACCTTCCTAACATGAATATAGACCGTGAACATAAATTATTGTAATTTTTTGGCATGGCACAGGTGGTGCCACAATTGCAAACCCATTGCACAGGAAATCTCTTTGGTCAGATATATCATTTAAATTTCTGATTTACAGATTGATGTCACATTTATTCATATTGGAAGTAATGATCTATGCAACTATCATATTGCTTCAGAAACTGTTGCTCATCTGAAATTGTTATTTTTGCAGAGGAGGTTTTATCCAAGGGCTGTAAAGTTGTTGTCATATCTGAAATACGTAACACTCCACAGGGATAAAATCAACGAGTGAAAACAACAAATAGACAGTTGAGCCAAGCTTGTAATTCCCATCCAAGACTGATCTTCTGGAGTCACTCAAGAAACAATTTTAATAAAAGATTTCTTTCAGATTTTGTAGGAGAAGATGGTGTGCATATTGAGCCTGTCCAAGGGCTACCACGCTATTATACTTCGGTGAGAGGATCTTTGTTGCTGGCCGAGAGAATGCTATGATACTGAATTATAGATTTAACTAAATATATAATAGATGTTATAGAATTTTTATATTTTCTTTTACAGAATATTACTTTGCTTAAAGCTTGTTGTTGTATATATTGGTTGTGGTGGCAATTGCCATAAAGTTTCCATAACAGCTATCTACAGAGATGAAGGTTATATTTATTCATTACATTAATGCGGTCTTGGCAAATTTACAATTGTTGGATATTACACTTACACGGTTAATGCGAATAAGAAGCATATAATTTTAACCGATGTTATATTCCCTTTTGCAATATCACCATTTCAAGCTGAAGAAATATTTTGTTTGACGCAGGGATATATACTCCTTTCTGCAGTGTCAGCATTTTACCCCGGTTTGACGCAGGGAGAAATTTAATCCCTTCTGTAATGTCACTTATTAACATAGATATATTGCCTTTTGTTTGACGCAGGGAGAAGTTTAATCTCTTCTGCAATCTCACTTATTAATATGAATGTAATTGATTTTTGTTAAACGCAGTGTGAAATTCAATCTCTTCTGCAATGTCACTTATTTATATGGATATTATTGTTTTACTTTGACGCAGGGAAAAATTTAATCTCTTCTGCAATGTCATTTATTTTTATTGTTGACATATTTATTTTGTCGCAGGGGGATTAACTCTCTTCTGCCTTGCACTTATTTATTTTGACACAGGGGGTTTCATTCCCTTCTGTAATGTCAATTTTGCAATTTACAAGAAAGCTTATCAAACTCAGAAGAAGGCCATCCTTTTTGTGATATCAATATACAAGATTCATAATAAGCTTTCATTACAACAAATTGTCTAATCAATACAATATGTGATGGTTATTCTACTTTCAATGACAAATGCCCAAATTGCCCCTGTTAATTTTGTTATTTTGTTATTACTTCTATAGTGTCCAATATTTCAGCATGCTAAACGGAAACCATCAAACGCCATTGGGGGCAAAAGAAAGGCTTCAAAAGCGTCGGACATGTTCGTGTCCAACTTTCGGTCATCCTTTGTGATATTATGACACAATTTTCTAGTCTCATTTTGATTAACTTAGTTTATTTAACTTTTTTTAAAATCAAGTCGTCTTGCACATTTGTGCCAGACATTTTCAATCCACTATTTGTCAGACTTTTCTTTACACATTCCCTTTCTTGTGATGACAGAAATAAAACTTCAAAGGCGTTCAGGCAAAGCAAATATAAATATTATTATTTCAAGACAACTTCCTCCAGACTTGATTTGCGGTATCTGATTATTGCAAACTGTTCGTTAATTTGATACGTCGATCAAGTTAATAATTCAACATACCACATATTCCCAAATCTTGGGGTATAAAAGTCTATTTGAATTCTGTCATTGAACAGATAAACGTATCAAACATTACAAAGTGTTTTTTTTCTTTTATTCACAAATATTGTACATAACTAAACATATATACAATGAGATTGTTAAACAATTTCCATTTGCGATATTCGTATGTTATAGAATGACAACATACATATACATACAAACAAAGACAAGGTCCTTGAAATTATCTAAATGTTAGTATATATCTTTTAAAAGTTTGAGTATTTTGTCTTAATTTGTATTTTACTTTAAAATCTATCATCTTGTATCTATAGTATTGAAACATTATTTCAAATTCTGCTTGAAACAGTTTTAATATGTCAAAATGTTTAATAAGTAATGGATACAGTACCAGCTTTTTTTCAAAAGTGTCTTATAAAAGACGTATCAAGACAGTATACTAGGATAAATAACAAATTGTCCGAGGCAAAGTCTTCTTCACATGTATGAACACACTCTTGGAAAAAATACTATCATTGTATCTGACGTATACGGCGATTCGATTGAATTTAAAGAAAGGATAAATGAATAACAAACAAATTGAGTAATAAACGAAAATTAACAAAACTAACATACATGTATTTAAATTTGGCAAGCATAACAAGAAAGTTTTATATCACTGGAATCGGAATATATTTGCACGGAACATGGTATATGTTGTTTAGGCAAATTTTGACAGATATAACAAGTTAGCAAACAGAATTGATATATTTCACTTGATCACCCTCCATCTTGATAAATCAAATACGAGAGATAAAATAAGATCATCTTTTCATCATCAATTCTTTGTACCATGTAAAAAAATCTGGAAAGAAAGTGATCCCTCGGAAGCATTAATGACAACAAAATTACATGACAACTGCAGATTCAGTTTGATTGAGTCTGTACATGAGGGATAATGAATAAGTGCAACATCCCTCACGGCCCCCTAGTCGTGATATATTTATATATGTCCAGCATTTATACACTCTATTATGAAAATCATTCTTGTGCTATACCCCACCTTTAAAAAGCTCTAATTCTGTTAACCCAAACCACCATCCAATATATTAATTAATATAAATGCTTTAATTTTATAAATTTAACATGAACATTTTCAGTTGATGGCGGTCATCTTATAATTTGGAGTTTTTCGGGAGGGAAGCTTTGGAGAAATTTTTGGTTTAGAATCTTCCAGAAAATAAAAGTTTAAATTGTGTGCAAATTTTGCCCGGGTTAACAAGCATGATTTTACCTGCAGCACATTAGCATAAAAATGTTATGGTAGACTTATTATTTGAAATTTCAAGGGGGAAATGCAATAAAGCTTCTTCATAAGAATATTTTTCAAGGTCACAATCTATCACTTGTGGGTTCTGTTAAGGTATGTTAACATAACATTTCAGAAATTAGAGAAGAAATATTATCACCAGAATCACTAAATTTAAAGTAGCCTAGGTCTTTGTAACATTGTTCTACGTCCAACATAGACGAAGAGAGTCTACAAAGAATAAACCCCGCTATTCTACTTGAAAAATAACTTCTTGTTGTATCGGCCAAATTATGTGGAGTTTCTGGTAGAGAGTGAATATAAAGGTGAGCGAATAGATAAAGTATAATATGTATCTCATGTAACTTCATTGAAATTCGACTAAATACAGTTGGTGACTTGTAACACATTGAAATAGCAGTTCGGATCTTTGCAATTTTCAACACCATGTGTGGTCCTTCTTTTAGAAGAGAGTCAATTCTCATACAAATTTTGATTCGTTGTGAGTGTGTTAGTTTGCCTTCGAGCAAATTTCTTTGCGGAATCATATAGCTTGGAAAATTGTTCGTCACAACAAAATGCTTCAGGTAGGCAAGTGCTTTTTTAAGTGCCACTATCAATGCATATTGAGTAAAACAATCATAGTCATTTAGTTCAGCTAACCAGAATACTACATTCTTCATAAGATAGGTAGACATATCTTTACTTAAAGGTTTCAATGTAACTTTAGCAATTTGTTTTAGCAATATTAAAACTTTTATAAGACAATCATTTAAACTATGAACCAATCTAATTTCTCCTTTGGTGAAACATATTCTCCATTCTAAGAATTGAAAACAGCTAGCCGTATGTCCTACTGGAACCACGTGTGAATCTAAATTTGAAACTTCTCTGACGACTGCAATAGGCGGCCATTGATAATTCCTTTCTCTACACAGCCATGCCGATAAATAAGAAGGGCATTCGCATCTAAGTGCTGTAACAGTATCAGTTAGTCCTGGGGAATCAAATACTATTGAAGGACCTTGAGTCTCATTATGTATGTTAACAAACTCTTGACTTCTGGGCATTTTACATAATCCATCAATGATTAACGCTTTTATTTTATTTTTTAAAAATTCACTAGAAAGGTATAATGTATTCGGAGCCAGTTCAACCATCGATTCATAAAGTAGTGTGGCAGTCCAAACACTATTACAAATTTGAATAGTTTGTAGTAATGAATAACCAGGGCGCGAATGATCCAAAGCCAGTTTGAATTGATGCTCACGTTCGTATGTTACTGAAGTAAAATGTTCTTTGCAGACTGTGTCCTTTAGAACTTTCATAATATCAGAATCATTCTCAAGAGGACCTGAAAGACCCTCGGCTTTACTTCCAACTATAATTGTGCTAAATTCAAACCAAGAACTCTTTTTGTTCATATCATCTGCATAACTACTTTGCATTTTCCTTCTAATTGATAACATTCGTCCTCCATATCCTTTGTAATCAAGTAAGTTCGAAATAAGGACTGAATGGTTTTGATACTGTGTCATTTTTCTCTGAGATATTCTTTTAAAATTGTATTGCTATGCAAATCTGAAATATTAATATAGGAACACATTTCTAAAATCAATATACACATATGTACAAGAATAAAGTAAAATTTCATGTTTATAACAATTTTTTTTCTGTAGCAAACATAATGCAATGCAAGTGTCTTTCGTTGGCTTGTTAACTGTAAGCTACTATCCATGTCAACACGAGTAGAGTATCCCCTTTTTTATTTCATTTTAGGTACATAATATCAAATATGTATATGTCTAAATAGAAAAGGTATAATCCAAGTATAAGTCAAAGTATCTTAACCGAGAGAAAAGTAAAAAAGCAGGTTTTTAAGTATATAAATTTTGAAAATTATCTTAGATTTGTTATATATAGTGAAAGTAAAAGCATCTACAGATGATAAATTGTGCAACACTTATTTAACTTAAAGATAAAATAGAGTTATTATGAATGTCCAAAACCGTAAAATTGTAAATGTTGCAGGTTTGGTTTGATTAAGCCTATTCATGGACGGTACTGTCAAGTGCAAACTACCGTCCACATCCAGGGCTTAAGCAGAATTCAACATTTAAACATAAAAATGGTAAAAATTTGAATTTAGAAATATACGGCGGTTATTGTGACACTTTCATGCCAATCCATGAAAAGTGGCTATCGTGTTCACAACGGGAAGACAACAAAATGGATTTTAAGGGAATAGAGGGAAGGAAGCCATGTATAACAATACTATAGGCGTCTGTTTAACCACACCTTATACGCATGCGTGGCGTCCATTTAGGATTCTATATTGAGAATTACATCATTGTTTTATTTCAAGAATTACATCATCGTTTTATTTATATCTCCCGGAAGTATACGGATCTGAAACGTGAAATATTGCACGATGTTCACAAACAGTTAAATATTGCAATACCGTCGTTAAATGTCGCAATGTCTAAATTCTTGTACAGAAACCTATTACTAAAATTTACGTTATTAAAATGATCTGGGGAGCAGCTATATGTCAGATAGAAGATGATTTGCTGTGATGTCAAAATATAAGTTGAAATAAAGATCAATCTTAGCAGGTATTATAAACAGGCGATCATTATTTTGGCAAAATGCCCTTAGGTAATAAAACAATTTTGAATATTTTCTTTCATTTAGCAGCAATGATGTCGTGGATTCAAGCTACGTCATCAGCTTGGGATTTATCTACAACACCGAAAAGATTATCTGAAAAGATTCAGTTAGAATTTTATTTAAGATCAGTATTTTTATACTGCCTATTACCCACAAGCATGTTTGTCTCAGGTTGTCCAAATAAAACAGATATAATGCTATAGATATTATGACATTTTCACTTACAAATTACACTTTTATCAACTTTCATTGATGCAAACAAACATGATTACGTTTTTCAGCAAGCCTAATTAGATTTTTTACATATTTTCTCGTTGGTAGACAATAAAAAATACATACTGGATTGGTTGACAATTAACAATATGTGTATGCATGCATTGAAAAAAAAACATATTTCAAGAGAAACGTGGCAAATGCTTCATTCGTCGAGAACATGGACAACCAAATTATTTATATATAAATACAAATTCGGCAATGGACAATTTAATGGTTGCTTTATTAAGACTTAAATGCACTTTAATGTTTTTCATTGTATTTTTCTGAATAGATTAAAAGATGGATCGGATTTGAATTTCAATTGTTCTCGGAGTAAAGCGGAAAATAAATCGCTTATTTCTTAATTAATTTCGTAGCTACATTGTGATAAAAGCAAAAGTGTGGTTTTTTATTAAGAATGTATAAATTAACCTGGTTTCTTTTAAAACATATCCGATTGTATAATTTTGAACTTGAAAGACGTTAACAACATTCATATATTACATGTAATGAACGTCTTAGTTGACTGTTAAAAATAACTAATTTAATACAAATGAATGTTTATTTACCTCAAAATATTTGTCTCGTCAATCCAAATACAATATGCTATCCTTTTGCATACAGATAAATATCAAAACAGTTTTATTTTTGTCAAATATCTCATATAGGTAATTTGTTTTGGAAGACTAGTTATATATCTATTATAGCTATGGTGGAACCTATGGTAATTTGAACCTTTTCCAATATAGATATAAAAGAAATACTTTACCAGTGACTTGTTTTTAAAGACCAAAAATAGATTATTTAGATGACACAGACATTATATTTTACCTTAAAGTTTCTGTCAACAGGCCAATTACTCCTTTTTAAAAGTATTTGAACAAATTTTATCTTTAGCAAACTTTAATTGAGATATAAAGATATAAGAAAAGTTAAGTTTTTTTTAATATTCTTATATCATTTCTTTAGTTAAACATTCTTTCAATTTTTTTAATTTAACTGATTTATTCTCTTCAACGACACAAATGATAAATATTAGTCAATTTATAAAAATATATGTCCTGAAAAAAGTATTGTTGAACATTTAAGCATACATAAAAGTAAATCACACAAATTTAAATCAGGGTCCTTCAAATAGAAAATAAATTCCTGTTCGGATCAACAGATAATTTGTCTGTTTTTCTTCTGGAAGTTATGTATTATAAAAATGAAAACTAAGAAAAATTTTAATTAGGCATACCTACGGAAGAGTATACTGACACCCAGAAATTATTAGACGTTAAAAAAACACAAATGATTTCAAAAACTTAAAGTACTGTTTTGAGCGTTTGTAAGTAACTTAGCTTCGCTATATATAGGAGAACATTTATTTCTGAAGGCTCAGAATAGAATGACTCTGCATATCCTTACATTACTATGAATGAGTGTAAACGGTATGCAAAAGAGTTCTGGTGTTTGGCTTCCAATGGGTCTCTTATAGGTATCTCTTCTTCAACATATTAGAGTATGCCTTTACAGTGTCATGGAGTATTTCCTAGGCCAGGCAGATTTTTTAATGAACTTTTGATTCTAAACTTTTTTACTCTTACTTATGAATGTTCATAAGTTACTTAGACGTGCACGCGAGATAATTAAGTGGTGCGCACGAGATACTTTGTCGTGGCCACGAGTCACTATGTGGTGCGAACGAAATAGTTCAGTCGTAATGGCTATCTATCTATCTATCTATCTATCTATCTATCTATCTATCTATCTATCTATCTATCTATCTATCTATCTATCTATCTATCTATCTATCTATCTATCTATCTATCTATCTATCTATCTATCTATCTATCTATCTATCTATCTATCTATCTATCTATCTATCTATCTATCTATCTATCTATCTATCTATCTATCTATCTATCTATCTATCTATCTATCTATCTATCTATCTATCTATCTATCTATCTATCTATCTATCTATCTATCTATCTATCTATCTATCTATCTATCTATCTATCTATCTATCTATCTATCTATCTATCTATCTATCTATCTATCTATCTATCTATCTATCTATCTATCTATCTATCTATCTATCTATCTATCTATCTATCTATCTATCTATCTATCTATCTATCTATCTATCTATCTATCTATCTATCTATCTATCTATCTATCTATCTATCTATCTATCTATCTATCTATCTATCTATCTATCTATCTATCTATCTATCTATCTATCTATCTATCTATCTATCTATCTATCTATCTATCTATCTATCTATCTATCTATCTATCTATCTATCTATCTATCTATCTATCTATCTATCTATCTATCTATCTATCTATCTATCTATCTATCTATCTATCTATCTATCTATCTATCTATCTATCTATCTATCTATCTATCTATCTATCTATCTATCTATCTTGTTTGAATAGTGTATGAACGTTTATATTTCTTCCTTAATGATTTATTGTTTACTTGTAGTAATTTTGATGCGAAAAATTGACATCTTAGACTTGTGTGCTCAATTCCTACACATCAAAACTCCATACCGATGTTAAATAGGCGATATATACTGCTCAGAGCGATGAATTACTCCAGTTTTTTATAAAGACAATATAACTTAGATCTTTTGTTACCAATTTCCGTATTGGGGCTGTTCTGCTCGGCACCCTGCAAACGATATCGTTATAAACAAAAGAAATTTTAAAAATTGTTTGGTATATTTCGTAATTCTTTGAATGTTATTTTACTTTGTTTCCAAGAGAATTAACCTTACAAAATCAGGCTTGTTCATTTCGTGTTTACATCTGTCCTTCACTTATGTAAGTTTAAATTAACGCATTTCTGTCTCCTTTCATGAATAAGTTGTGCTTAGGATAACGGCATTTCGAAAGTTATGACTGGAGTAAAATTTTAGTCATACATTTTTTGGTAGGAGGTATTAAAGCATCAAAGCAAAATAGCGAAAATGTAACGAAATACTAGAAAGTTGTTACTTTGTTGTTTCTTCGCTGCTTTTCCGCCACACCAAAAAAGTCAAAACTCAACAGTTGTAACACAAAAAAAAAACATTTGATATGTCGTACTTTTGCCTGATGTTGTTACTTTTCCGTAATTTCACCACGTAAATGCAAAAATATATGATGGCTAATTTGTGTCCTTGTGATATTATTGCTCTGCGGGCCGCGAGGCAAAAACACAAAATTGCCACATTGTTACCACTTTGCCGTTCTCTTGCTCTGCGGGGCACAAGGCAGATAACATGGAAAAAAAACGGTAAAGTGGTTTTCGTATCTGGCGGGGCGCTGAGCGAAATACGACATGACATAAATCAGCAACCACAAAATGTGATTTCAAAAAGTGCAAGAACGTTTTACTTTTTCTTATCTTTGTTTTTCCATATTTCTGTGGTAAAAACCCGAAAATACGCCATGGCATAATCAGCCACCATACGAAGCATTTTTTCAAGTTTGTGACGCTTTTGTTATCTGATCCATGGCTACGCGTTATTTGAACGTGTTCCAATATAGATATAAAAGAAATACTTTACCAGTGACTTGCTTTTTTAGATCAAAAATAGATTATTTACATGACATAGACATTATATTCTACCTTTAAGTTTCTGTCAACAAGCCAATTACGCATTTACGTATAATAGTATTTGAACAAATTATATCTTTACGCAAATTATTATTGAGATATAAAGATATAAGAAAAGTTAAGTTTTTTTAATATTCTTATATCATTCTTTCAATTTTTTTAAGTTAAAAACTGATTTGTTCTCTTCTTCGACACAAATATTAGTCAATATATAAAAATATATATTCCTGAAAAAAAATCTTGTTGAACATTTAAGCGTACATAAAAGTAAATCACTCAAATTTAAAGCAAGGTCTTTCGAATAGAAAATAAATTCCCTTTGAAAGACCAGGTGTTTAAATCAACAGAGAATTTTCTGTTTTTCTTCTGGAAGTGATGGAGTATAAAAATGAAAACTAAGAAATTTTTTAATTAAACATACCTACGGAAGAGTATACTGACCCCCAGAAATTATTAGACGTTAAAAAGAAAACAAATGATTTCAAAAACTTAAAGTACTGTTTTGAGCGTTTGTAATCAAAAAATTTATAGCTTCCAATGGGTCTCTTATAGGTCTCTCAATTTCAACATATTAGAGTATGCCTTTACAGTGTCATGGAGTATTTCTAGGCCAGGCAGATTTTTTAATGAACTTTTGATTATAAACCTGTTTACTCTTACTTATGAATGTTCATATAGACAGATTCATGGTGTCTAACATAGATATGAAATTATTGTTCATTGAATGCATGCAATTATTACAGACTAATTGTTTAAACTGTTTAAATTATAGAATGCGAATACTAATCTTAAGCCTATTAATAAAGTTTATGCAAAGTGCACTGAATGAGAAACTTAAAATATTACATGTATATATCTTTCATTGATGTTAAAACCGTGATTTCCTCTGCAATATGAAACATATATCTCAAATGTTATTCAATATTCTAGCTTAAGGACCATAATGGCAATAAAAAACATTTTTGTGACAGCCTTATCATATTCACTGTATCGACAAGCCTGTCACGTGATTATAGGTAGGACGCGCGCTTAGGGATTGAGAGGTCCCGGGTTCGAACCCCACCAGGGGCACTGCTAATTTCCTTGAGCAAGAAATTTACCTGCGATTGCTTCACTCCAACCAGGTGTTAATGGGTACCTGCGAGGGTGGTATAATTCCGTTGCGCCAAAGTGTCGGCTGCACTTAGCGGAGTTAAAAGACTCCCCAAGGGAGATTGATAGATAGATACCAGTAGCCCGATGACCAGGGGTAATAGCTGTAAAGTCGGTGAACCTGCGTAAGCATGAAACTTAGACTATAAAATGCAATTACTTACTTTTTTACTGTTAGTTCTTTAGATGTTAATAGTGAAAACAACACTTATTTTTCTTTTTAAACTTTAACATTTAAACAGTGTGAATTCATAGGAAAACCATAGATCTGTTATGACTGAAGATAAAATATACCGTATGCCTCTCAATTTGAGATAAAAATATAGAAAACATGAAAGTCTACAATGTTTCAGCAATTCATTTTCAACAAAAGATCTGTCAACATTCACATCAAGGGGAGGCGTAAGGGCCCCTTTCATAATCCCTCATGTACAGACTCAAACAAACCGAGTCTGCAATTTCATGTATTTTTGTTGCTATGGTTCACCTTTTCCCAGACTTTTTATGATAAATAATGAAAAATGACTAAAGCCGTGCTTATCCTTTTTAAAAATGAAATGCCCAGATGAATACAGAAACTATGTACACTGTATGCGTAATGTACAGCGCACAAGATACTATGTCGAGGCCACAAGTTACTAAGTCGTACACACGAGATAATCAAGTGGTGCGCACAAGATACTATATCGTGGCCACGAGTTGCTAAGTCGTGCACACGAGATAATTAAGTGGTGTGCACGAGATACTATGCCGTGGCCACGAGTTACTAAGTCGTGGGAACGAGATAATTCAGTGGTGCGTGCGAGATACTATGTCATGGCCACAAGTTAGTGAGTGGTACGCATGAGATACTATGATTTTGCCACGAGTTACTTAGTCATGGGAGAAGGTAATTAAGTGGTGCGCATGAAATACATTGTCGTGGACACTAGTTACTTAGACGTGCACGCGAGATAATTTAGTGGTGCGCACGAGATACTTTGTCGTGGCCACGAGTCACTATGTGGTGCGAACGAAATAGTTCAGTCGTAATCGCTTGCAACATTATGATTGTTTGAACACAAAAAGATTATCAGATTTATGTGAAAAGGACACAAAAACTATAAGATGACTAGTAGGATGGTAATATCTGACACAGCAGGGAAATCAACGTTTTTACAACATTGATATAGGGTCAGATTTCAACGTTATCATAACGTTAGATTTGTATTTGGATTAGAATGTTGAAGCATCATCGCAATTTAATTGTCAGTACAACGTTAAAAGCCTACAATACTTCAATGTTGAAATGTTCAACTTGCTTTCTGATCAAGACATGTTTGTGTATGTTGTATGTGCATTTGTATAAAATAACCAGTTTAGAATATATAAAATTACACATTAACCCTTTTAAGAAAAAGAAATCAAATATTGAAAACGTTTATAACATCAATAGAAAAGTATCACAAGGTATAAATGGAAATGATTTTTTCAGATGTATGTTTGATTGTTTTTTTGTTGTTTTTTGTTGTTGTTTTTTTTGTTGTTTTTTTTTCGTTTTTTTTTTCAAAATCCTCCGAATGATATAATTTTCTGAAAACACAATTAATACATTCAAGAAAATTATATTTGAATGAACTGCTTTGTTTTCTATCTAAAATAATTTATTTAATTTAAACAAATAAATATTTATTTACCTCGATGTGTTCCTCTCGACATGAAGGTTTTATTCCAAATGCAATTACTCGCCTTCTTGGCATACAAAATTCATTTTAAAACAGTTTATTTTTGTCAATAATCTCATACTGGTAATTTTGTTATGAAAGACTGTTGATATATTGAAAGTATGTATGTATGTATGTATGTATGTATGTATGTATGTATGTATGTATGTATGTATGTATGTATGTATGTATGTATGTATGTATGTATGTATGTATGTATGTATGTATGTATGTATGTATGTATGTATGTATGTATGTATGTATGTATGTATGTATGTATGTATGTATGTATGTATGTATGTATGTATGTATGTATGTATGTATGTATGTATGTATGTATGTATGTATGTATGTATGTATGTATGTATGTATGTATGTATGTATGTATGTTATGTTATGTTATGTTATGTTTTGTTATGTATGTATGTATGTATGTATGTATGTATGTATGTATGTATGTATGTATGTATGTATGTATGTATGTATGTATGTATGTATGTATGTATGTATGTATGTTATGTTATGTTATGTTATGTTTTGTTATGTATGTATGTATGTATGTATGTATGTATGTATGTATGTATGTATGTATGTATGTATGTATGTATGTATGTATGTATGTATGTATGTATGTATGTATGTATGTATGTATGTATGTATGTATGTATGTATGTATGTATGTATGTATGTATGTATGTATGTATGTATGTATGTATGTATGTATGTATGTATGTATGTATGTATGTATGTATGTATGTATGTATGTATGTATGTATGTATGTATGTATGTATGTATGTATGTATGTATGTATGTATGTATGTATGTATGTATGTTATGTTATGTTATGTTATGTTATGTTGTATGTATGTATGTATGTATGTATGTATGTATGTATGTATGTATGTATGTATGTATGTATGTATGTATGTATGTATGTATCTATTCATTTATTTATTTATTTACTTATTTGAATAATATAAAAGTTTATCTATTTCCATATTTATTGATTTATTGCTTGCTTGTTTGCTGGCTTGCTTGCTTGCTTGATTGATTTTTGTAGTTTTTATGCGATAAATTAACAATCCTGATTTACGAGGTCAGTACCTACACATCAAAACTCCGTATTGCTAGGACTGATTCTAACAAGTCAAAATACGCAGACTTTTTTCGCTGTCGATTTTCTTAGTGGTCTGTTATGTTCGGCACCCTACTAAGGCTAATGTAATAAACGAAATAATAATAACAAGTTATAGTATTAGTATGGTATAAACCGTTATTCTTAAAGTGATATTTTACCAAGTTTCCAAGAAATAAAGCTTATATATCAGAATTGATTTTTTTTCAGTGCGTACTAGAGAATATTATCCCTTAAAAAGACGCAATTCTGACCCATTTCATGAATTACTTGTACTTAGGATGACGTAATTTCGCAGGTTATGAATTAAATTCTAATCATACATTATATCTGTCACAGGGTCATTTGTCATTATATATACATGTATATACTTTACCATTATTATATCCAATATGATAATTATATAGTGCATTTCTTATAAATATATTCTTCCTTGTCCATCCACTCTTCATCTCATATTTACTCCCATAGCCTCATTATATCTTACATCATATATCATACACTAAGTATAGTAACTGGTGACGGGCCTCATTTTTTCGCTCATGATTTACCGCCACGCATGCGCTCGGCAGATTTGAATTACAGTTGTAGAGTGAAAACCTAACTTCTGACTTTCTTGTTTATTTATTTATTTTGCTGTCTCTGTGTGTTTTACAGGTAATTTACTTATATAAGTGTATTGATATATATTCATTCTTCATTTTCTCATTCATCGTTTGTTTCATGATTTTGACGGTTTTGTATATTTATGAAATGCACTGAAGATTTGAATTACAGTTGTAGACGTGAGAACTTATTTATTTATTTTGCTGTCTCTGTGTGTTTTACAGTCTCAATCACAAGAGAGAACTATAAAAACCCTTCGACGATTATAGAAGGTAACAAATTGGTGGCCAGTGTGACTTTTGTGTTTTTGGGGCGAAGCCGTTGTGGGCGAATCGAGGTGTTTCCCGTGACGTCACAGGACTTCCTCAGAGCAGCCAATCAACGCCATAGCTAGCGCTACACATTTTTCTGCTACGTCACTGCATATACACGTAGCATGGAGTGATTTGTTTTTATTCAATTTTAATAATAGATCGATCTAACTCTTCATTTATTTGGATTACGTTAATTTTACCGGTTTATTTTAACTAGATATCATCATATTTAACGCGTCTTCAAATAATTAAAGTTTCACTTTGTTTACATCAGGAATTATCGTCGTTGGAATTGAAAGTGAAAGTAGACTCTTGACATTTAACAGATTGTGATTTACCAATAATCTTTTT